AGCGGTTTGCCTGCAAGTTCAGAGCCACCTGTGGTCCTCTCCCAGCATGTCGTAGCAGAGAAATTGTTTGAGAATGAGACCGACTGCCAGACACTTTGTACTTTCAGATCCCTTTGCTGACTCATTTGGTAGGTTGGAATCAAAGATCCACAAACACATTTTGTTAGCAAAGAGAACTCACCTGTGTCTGTGATCTGGACGTGAGTCATATGCCAGGGACACAGGGAACATGAGGAAACATTTGATTGATGTTCTGGAGTTGAGGTGGATATCTGCTGGATCATTAATTTATCATATGGCACAGAACAAGTTGCTTAAATAACGTTCAGTTTCCTAGGCCTTAGAGCTTATGTAACCTTTTGAAGATACTTCCTGAATAGGCCACACAGGATTGTCTATTGGACTATCAAGAGCCCAGTCATTGACTGCCTTTCCTCAGGGGTGGAGCTCAATTACCTCCTTCCATCTCTTTTAATTAGTCCTTACAACCAACCAGCAAAGATATTTAGGTGAGACAACGGGCTCATGTTAGACTTGAGGGGTCATGTTAGACCCCTCAAGAGAGGGGTGCTGAGGTCATTAAGTATCATATGCTATGCCTTATCTAACATGCTGCTTCTAGCTTAGGAGTGTATAGATGAGTGGAGGCAGGGCTGTGACTCATCGAACCCCCCAGTTATCCCTGAGAGGTCTTCTGATGTTAAGCATGAATCTTTGAGAACTTAGGTCATAAATTCATCAATCAGATTTAAAAGATGATGCCCTCTCAGCAATAACGCATTTTAAGAAAACTTTCCAAGGGGAAGGTTGAACAGGGGGCACTGATGGGAAAGAAAATTAGGATAGGAGCTGCATTGGTCAGCTTTTTAAGACAATTAGAGCTAGACAGTTGACACTTGGGGAACATGAGGTTAGGGTCACTGGCCACTGCACAGTCAAAAATGTGCACATCTTTTCGCTCATCCAAAAACTTAACTAAAGCTTGTTGCTGAACAAAAACCTCACTAATAACATAGTTAATTAATACATTCTTATAATTGTATTATAATATATTGTATTGTATATAATATATTCTATTGTAATATATTCTGTGTTTTTACAATAAAACAAGCTAGAGAGCAAACTGGTGCAACCACTATGGAAAGCTGTGTGGAGGTTTCTCAAACTGCTAAAATTGGAGCTTCCTTATGATTCAGCAATTCCACTTCTAAGTATCTACCCAAAGGACACCAAAACAATAATGCAAAAGGACACCTGCACCTATTTACAATAGGGAAGATGTGAAATCAACCCAAATGCCCAAAAATAGATGACTGGATCAAGGAGATGTGGTATGAATACACAATGGAATATTACTCAGCAATCAGAAAAGATAAACTCATGCCATTTGCAGCAACATGGATAGAACTGGAGATCATGATTAGGAAATAAACCAGAAAGAAAAATACCAGTTGGTTTGACTCATAGCAGGAGAGTAAGAGAATATATATTACATATTATATATTTGCATATATATTATATATGAATATATATTATATATAGTAATGTAATAAAGTAATAAAGAACATCAACAAAACTATAAACCAGAGACATTCTATGGGGGAGGGGAAGACTAGATCAAAAATGAAGTGGGAAGAGCACATAGGACTATGGTGAAGGCACATGGGTGAAATGGTGGGAAGTCCGTGGGGACTACCACTGAGATGAAAAAATGCACAAAATGAAGAAGAATGTAAAATATATAGATAAAATAAAAATTTAAAAAGGAAACAAAATTATTTCTATACAACTTTTTAAAAAGCTAGAGAAAAGGAAATGTTATTAACAGAATTATAAGGAAGAGAAAGTATGTTTACAATACTGTAATGTCTTTATTGATTCTCTAAGTTCACATTATCTGTTTGCAAGAAAATCTACATATTAAATTGACCCAAGAAGCTCAAATTCTATTGTTCAAGAGTCCACTGTATTTATCATTTTAATTCTGTTCTTCTATTGATATATCACATAGTGTTTTGAGATTTGGGTTTATATCTGGAAATTATTTCTCGCATGAGAAACCATCCTTGTATTTGAAATAATAAACAAATGGAGTTATATACAGTTCTTCACCTCTTGACTAATCTTGTCAAAGCAAGTTTGAAATGTGATGATCTAGGGCAACACAATGCAATAAAATAAAATGTATGCACATCTACTTTTTATCTGAAAAATCTTTGGGAAGCATTTTCATTGGAATAAAGAACAATTATAAACCTGTGTTATATTTGGTAAATTTTATTAATCTTAAATGAACAATCCTTAAAAACAAGGTCTCTTTTAACAGGTTTGAATCTGAACAGTATCACATTACACTATGTTTTCAGAAATCAGATTCCTATTTAGTTCTTATAGAAGAATTTCTTTTGAAGACTTAAAGTGTCTTTCTACAAGCAAATAATCATATCCAATTTATTTTTTGGATTTACATTTATACTCTTATTTCTTAAGGTGATATGCACATTTTAATCAAGTTGTTACAACATAAATTACTACAAAAATAATGTTGAGACATTAAAAATCTCAATAAGTGTCCATATATCATCATCATCAAATAATCTTGGGGCCATTGGCAGACAACATCTGTCACACAATGGCGTCAATCATGTATTCTAAAATCCACCAGTACCTGCTAACTTTAGATTGTCATGATCGCAAACTTAATTGTTGAATGATGGGTTTTCAATAAGGAAAAAGTAAAGAGAAATCAGGCAAAGGACTAAGAAAAAAGATCTAGCCAGAAAAAAAAAATTGGGAAAATATGTAATGTAAAACAAGCATTTTAAGCAAAAAGTGAGCATGTCCTTGCTAATCGTGAAAAGTGTCATTGTGTGAGTGAAAATAAAATAGATTGGAAAATGGATCTTAGTTCTGCTAATAAAGCATTAATCCACAATATGGTGTATAAAAATCAGAAATTAGTTTTTGTTTTTGTTTTTTTAAGCAAGCTTAAAGAGAGGAGAGTCATAAGTGAATACTTTGAAAGGCAGGGGTAAGGGAAGAAGAATTAGGGAGCTGTACTTCTTAGGAGAACAGAGAATAGGAAGTAAAGGAGTCCATGAGATTCTAAGCCAGTGGTGGATGTGTCACTTGGCACTAATCAAGCAAGGTACAACCCATGAAATCCTGAAAATGGGTGGGAAATAAGCAATAAAGAGACTGCTTAACAAGAATCATAATCACACAGAAGAAAAATTGGATCTCACTCATTAGGGAGTGTCGTACCTGCCCAGCTGTCCTTGACCGTCCTGCTGGGAAGTGGCCAGGACACTTGGACCAGACTGAGTCCCCAGGAAATTCAGGCAGTAACTGAAGCCAGTACTCCATTGCCATGGGCTGAAAAAAAAAAATCCCTTTGTTCCCAGTGAATATACTAGCTTTTAAATACCAGGGGCGAAAACGAATGACCATATCAGGATGTGTCAGTCCCTAAGGAGAGGTAGTACAGGTTTAGGTTCTCAAAAAGGTAAGGATGTGCATCAGATCAATTTGCCATACCTCAAGCATTTAAAAGATTTTTTTAAATACTAGAAATGAAGAAAAGTCTGGGAAATTAACCAAAGGCATTTATATATTATATGGGCCTTCCCAAAAGCAAAAAATAAGGGGGGGGGGGATAAAGAAAAAGACACCCACACATGCATTTAAGTCCTTGTATCACTCTAAAGTGATCTTGGGGACAGGGACAGATGAAAACACTTTACACAAAGCTCTCCTAGAATATAAACTTCAAAACTTTTACAAACCCTTATGTTTGTCAAATACCATGAGATCAAGTATAATGTTTATAACACATTTTTTTTTTTTTACAAAATTGGATTGAAAGTAATTTTTGTAATAAGCTGAGACTAGTTTTGCCAGGTACTTTGCCAATTTTGAAATGATTGGGGAAACAGAACATAAATATAGCCTCACTTCTTTCTCATCCTTTTCATCATGCTGACAGTTTTCCAGAGAATCATTACAAGAGTGGTTTGTGCCATTAGAGATAAGAGACTATCTGTGTTTCCACTAGAAACCTCTATTTTCCAGACCGTATAACTCATCTATAAATATTCACTCTAGGCAATAGGTTATATATATAATGATTCTGTCTCTCAAAATCTCTATTGACTTAACCAAATGATTTTTAGAAATCATGGAGACTTTTACGTGACAGAATGAATAAAAAGAAAAATTAAATGCAAATAAAATGCTATGTTTTGTGAGTGTGATTTGAACCAAAACACTGTGGTATCTATAAAACATGGACATAGCTCTTTCTTACCAATTCTTTCAAAGTATAATTCATTTGTAATAAAGATTATTAAGTGGTGTGCAATCTGTTAATTAAAAATACACACATCCTATTTATTTCTGTTTATATAAACTAACTTTGAAGTTATATTTTTCTAGCAAATAGTTTTGTAGAACTTTCAAGCACTATTCACCCCATTCATTCTCTGTGTCAGTCTGAGATGGAATTGTATCAAAGCCATGAACTTATATGACATTAGGCTTTGAATAAAGTAATGCCCTTATACTTCCAAGATATATTTGAGGTGTTAACATTATCATATGCCAGATGGTCCTAGCTACTTGATAGAAACCTTCAGCATTCTAGAGTTGTATCCTACCTGAAAGAAATAGACCTCACAAATGTAATGTTTTTTTAATACTAAACTAAATTATCTTCTATATGGAAAAAGAGACTTGTAAAATTCAGGAAATGAACTGGAGCTGTACCAACCCATTAAAATGAAATGCTCTTTTACTAATCTCATCATCAAATTTTTCTGTTCATGGTTGGTTTTACATTGTTGGAGTTCAGTGCTCATCTTGTTGCACTGCTGACCCCAGCTGTGTATGTGTGCAATGCTCTTTCGCAAGACTCAAAATGATGTTCAAGAACTCCCCTGTGCTTTCATCTGTGTGCATTCAAACCCTAACCTAAAGTCTGTTTCTTTCTTCTTTTCCAACAGCTATTTTGTGACAGTAAAAAGGTGGTGCATGCCACAGAGGGGCTGGATTGGGAAGACAAAGATGCTCCAGGGACACTGGTTGGAAATGTGGTGCACTCAAGGATCATCAATCCTCTACGCTTGTTTGTTAAACAGTCTCCAGTGCCAAAGTCTGGGCACTTGGCTTATGCAGACAGCATGGAAAACTTCTGGGATTGGCTGGCCAACATCACGGAGTTTCAGGAGCCACTGGCAAGAACTAAACGGAGGCCAATAGTAAAAACAGGAAAATTTAAGAAAATGTTTGGATGGGGTGACTTCCATTCCAACATAAAAACTGTTAAACTCAACCTCCTCATCACGGGGAAAATTGTTGACCACGGAAATGGAACCTTCAGTGTTTATTTCCGACATAATTCCACAGGCCTGGGCAATGTTTCAGTGAGTTTGGTTCCCCCTTCCAAAGTAGTGGAATTTGAAGTGTCCCCACAATCTACTTTGGAGACCAAGGAATCAAAATCTTTCAATTGTCGCATTGAGTATGAAAAAACAGATAGGGCAAAGAAGACCGCCCTGTGCAACTTTGACCCATCGAAGATCTGCTACCAGGAGCAAACTCAGAGTCATGTGTCTTGGTTGTGCTCCAAGCCCTTCAAGGTCATTTGCATTTACATTGCCTTTTACAGTGTTGATTATAAACTTGTGCAAAAGGTCTGTCCTGACTATAATTACCACAGCGAGACGCCATACTTATCTTCTGGATGAATCTTTCCACAGTGATAGAAATGAGGGACAAGTGTGTATTTAATTAGAATGACCAGGAAGCAACACCAACTCTTCATGGTAAAGAATCCCTTTTGTTTCTGGCAGTGAATCTTAGTTCCCTAAAATGTTTCCAAATTAAAAAAACGAGGAAACATCTTTTAATGTGAACTGTATTTCAGTCATAAGTACTTTAATTAAAAGTGTTAACTGTGTATGATGCTAATGCTTTCAAGTAGGATAGCTAAGTCCTGGAAATGTTGTTTCTCTAAAAGAAGCATCAGTGAGAGCCACAGAAGAAAACAAGAACCAAATTATGCATGTGATACATAGCTCTTGAAATGAGCCTGCCTTTGAAATATGTTTTGGAAGGTTACCATAAAAATAGCAATTTCAGTCACGTAACTGAAAAGATTGTATTTGATAGACAACTCGCATTTCTAACATCAAATTCTTTTTTTGTTGTTGTTGCTGTCTTTTTCCTACATCTGTGCTACTATTGATATCAGAGATGAGGGAGTGAAATTTGCTTCAAACGTCATGTGTGAAGTTACAGTGCCACAGTGGAACTAAATACATTATTATCTGAACTAGTGTTGAATGGAATGTGACTGAAACACTTAGACCTGTGTTGGTCACCATTCTTATGTGTCTCATCTGACTAGTAATATTGGGGTGTTGGGAAAGCAAATCTGGATAAGTCAGTTTAACTTTAATGAAGACGATGTTTTTGATTCTTTTGCCAAATTTAATGCTGTGAGGTGGCTTAAATAAAAGTAAACTTGTATTCACCCTAAAAGCTCATTCTATTTATTTGATAGTGTGATGTTTTATATGTGTGTGTGTGTGTGTGTGTGTTTGTGTGTAGAGCAACTCTGAAATTGAAAAAGAATGATGTTTCCCAGGCTAGAAGGAGAAAACAATTCAAAGAGAAGAGAAGAAATTCCAGAATTATGATTATTTCCAACGTTTCAGATTAAGTTATCTTTTAATTTAATTATTTGAGTAAGGATCAAATTATATGTGGGAATAAAGTTATATCCAAACATTACTAAATGTTGTCAAGTATTAATAACCAAGAGTAATAGCCAGGTATTTGAGGTTATTTACAAATGTTGTTTCCCAATCAGTATTCTTCCCATCATCCTTAAGCAGGTAATGTTCTGGACGGAGAGGGAGCTAGCATCCAGTGTCAAAGAACTGTATGGTCTTGTATTGCAAAAAAGAGGGTCTCACTGACCAGTAAAGTTTCTAACACTTGTGAAGTGTCACTCCTTTTACAACAGATGTTAACTTACCCTTCCTTATCTGTAAAATTAGTCGTGTTAAATTGAGGAGTAAAGAAAAATCAGTCCCAACAAAAATGCTCTTACCACAGTATTCGAAAAGCTGACATCTCTAGTGTCTATTTAACATCGCCACTTTCCTTTTATGGTGATATCTGCACAGTGTTTGATTTTGTCTTTTGTAAAAATTGTACTAGACTTAGTGTATGGTAATATAAGCTTGAATTTTTGCTCTGAGTTCATCAGGTGCTTTTGTATTTTTGTGGTTGGTGTGAAATATTTGGAGACATTTTATTTTCATCTAGAAACAAGATTGAAATACTATTTATTGTAAAATATGTGGAAACCATATATGTATATATACTTAGAATTTTCTGTGTACAGGGAAAGTATGTGTACACATTTCTATGTAAATAAAAAGAACTTTGCTAAATCTGTCACATGGCTTTCAGGGTACTTTTTTCTAAAGCCTGCTCTGCTTGTTTGTTTATTCACAAGAATTATGTGTGTGTGTATAATGCCAGCTAAGTATTAAGATATCCGAATTGAGAAAATACATAAAGAAATAGACCATCTTGGCTATGGAGATCATATAAACTAGAGTAAAAATATAATTTATATAAAACATTTGGCATATATCCTAGCATCTAATAAGAACTCTATCAGTATGAATTGCCAGTATGATTGTATCATTGTTAAAAAATTAAATGAGATTTAAAACTATCTGGTGTTCAAAAGTTGAGTGATAAAAGGATTATATCCATGCAGAGAAAAAAGAAACTGTAAATCAGCTTACATGATTCTTAGACTTTAGCAGGGCTTGTGGAATTAAAAAAAAAAAAGTTTCCCTAGGCATATTTTTAATTGGGATAGAACATATGCCACATATATTTTTAAGTCATAATTTCATTTCAAAGCCTATATAATTGTCAGTAATGGTACTTGGCACAATATAAATCAGATTCCATTTAGACTTGCAAATGCACACATTTCTACAAAACTACTTTTGCCTTTGAGTACTGCAGTTGAGGAAAGGACATTTATGTTATCTAATTTTATACATACTATTAAAGGAATAGACTTTTTTAAAAGTAAAAATTAAACTAATAGATTGATAACCAAATAAAGAAAAGTGGACAGCCCAGTTATTAACATAGAAAATAATAATATTCCTAAGAGGGTACAGACTATCCTTGAGCATTCAGGCTCCCTATTTGACAAGTAAAACTGAGGCCATATAAGACTCCCAGGTCTTGAGAAAGAGACTTTCACATAAGAAAGGTAAAGTGAAATAAATACTACACACAAAATAAAAATACAATGAATTTACAGAGTGATCTGATTCAGAAGCCAAAGCTAAACATGAAAAATAGCTGGAAATGTAATTTCTCTATGATCTCAACATTTAACAAAATTAAATTACAGAAAAATAAAATTAGGATAGAAGCAATTACATCCAAACATAAGCATCCTGGGAAATATTGGCAGCCTCACTGAAAAAACAGCAGTAGAACTCTGTATTTGGAGAAATTTCCAAGGGATAATAACACCTGAGAACATTTTTTCATAGAAATAGTCAAATTGTGTAGAGTACTTAAATGCCTGAAGGTCTGGATTTATCTCATAAAAACCATCAACTGGCCTTTAAGATAGGATGGAATCATGTGTTTTTACTTACAGGAAAACTATAGTTAAACCCAGATTAATTAATCAGAATTTTTATGAATGGACATTTACTATCTCCAATTGGAAGAGAAATATAACAACAAAACAAACACATTTTAAAGATTATTTCAGTAAAAATCTTGTGGGAAAAATTCAAAAGTCATTTCATAGTTACATACATTTTCCCCTTCATATATTGAGGTCTGGAGCCCTGACAGCTATTCCATTCTTATCACTTTTAATCTTTCCTTTCTGTTAGCCAACCTAACTCTTCATCTCTTCTCAAAAAGAATGAGTTAACAATTTCTGACCTACTATAGTACCTAGCATGCTAGTAGATACTTTATGTGTTCTATAGTGATTTGATCTGCCACTTAATTTTTTTAATCATATAGTAGTTTATTTTTATATCATTCTGTGCCTTTTTCCATCTCAGTTGTAATCCCCATGGACTTCCCATCACCAAATCACCCATGAGACATCAGTATAATCCAGTGCACTCCCCACATTTTTGATCCCATTCCCCACTCCACCCCTGTAAAATGTCTCTCGTATATAGTTGTTCATTATTATTATTTTCTCCCCAGTCCTTTATTCTCCTGCTATGAGTAAAACCATCCAGTATTTTTTTTTCTTTCTGGCTTATTTCACTAAGCATGATCCCTTCCAGTTCCATCCATGTTGCTGCAAATTTTGTGTATATATACCACATCTTTTTAATCCAGTCATCTAAATTTGGGTATTTGGGTTGATTCCATGTATTTCCTATTGTAAATAAAGCAGCAAGCAATAAACATGGGGGTGCAGTTCTCTTTGAATCAGTGTTTTTGAATCTTTTGGGTAAATATCTAAGAGTGGGATTACTGGGTTATATGGAAGCTCAATTTTTATGATCTGCCACTTAATTTTTTTAAGATTTATTTATTATTTTATTTATTTATACAGAACTGGGGTACAGGGTATAAGCCAGAGGTCCAAGGGTGGTGAGAGGATTCACCAGAGAGAGTGGAGTGCAGAACAGGGAGAATGATGAAGTACACTGCTGAGGGGAGCAGTGGGCAGGTCAGGAAAGGTCTGCCTCGCCATGTGGATCATCTCCGGGCCAGGGATCGAACTCATGCTGAAGTAGCTTTATTTTCTTAGTGCAGTGTTTTAATTCGCTGCGCCACCAGGGAGGGCCTGCCACTTAATTTTTTAAAAAATTCTCTAGTACTTGCTGGTGGGAATGCAAACTAGTACAACCACTATGGAAAACTGGAGGTTCCTCAAACTGCTTAACATGGAGCTTCCCTACGACCCAGCAATCCCACTCCTAGGTATCTACCCAAAAGACACAAAAACTCTAATTCAGAAAGATACCTGCATCCCCGTGTTTATTGCTACCTTATTTACAATTGGAGAGACATGCAAACAGCCCAAATGCCCAAAAGTGGATGGCAGGATTAAAAGATGTGGCACATATACACAATGGAATATTACTCAGCAACCAAAAAATGAAGAAACACATGTCTTTTGCAGCAACTTGGATGGAGCTGGAGAAGATCATGCTTAGTGAGATAAGCCAGAAAGAAATACCAGATGGTTTCGCTCATAGCAGGAGTATAGTGGACCAGGCAAGAAAATAATAATAATAATGAACAGACATATACAAGAGACATTTTGTGGGGGTAGAGTGAGGAATGGGATCAAAAATGGTGGGGGAAGGGAAGTGCACTGGACTATAGTGATGGCACATGGGTGACTTGGTGATGGGAAACCCACGGGGATTACAATTGAGATGAAAAACAAAAATGTACAAAATAATGTAAAAATAAACTATTATAAAAAAATTCCCCAGTGCTTTAGTGATTTTTAGCACCTACTCCACCCACTTAATACAAGTTATTTTTTTGCACCATTTCCAACATGAACATATTATTATCTCAACACAATACCCGTTGAATGTTACTTATAGCTGCAGAAACTTAAAAGCTGAAAACAATGTTATAATTCATCTCAGAATAAGAAAACAAAAACAAATCCTAGAAGTCTGACTTTAAAACTAAGGCTACCAGACCGAGGGGGACCCAATGGACCTTGTGGAGGTCTATGGGTGCTTTGGTGGTGGTTGTGCTGTAGTAACATACATCTGAAGTATAACCAGATGTATAACCTGAAGTATAATCTGAGTCATAACCAGTGTTGTAAACCAATGTCACCCTAATAAAAAATAAAAAGTTTTTATCATTTAAAGAAGTGGAACCTAATAAGATTTAACAGCCAAATTATTCTTATGGCTCTCCAATTCTTCCTCCAAATTCCTGATATTCAGTTGTATTGATAAAG